CAGGACACAAATCAGTGCCCATGTGGGATGCCGGGGTCCCAGGTGGGGCTTTAGCTGCTGCATCACAGCGCCGGCCCCTACAAACATTTTTAATACTTTAGTATACATTCTTCAAATCATTGTGAGGAATATATTTATTTTACAGGATCAAAAGCAGATGGTATGTATTTTTTCTAAACAAGTTTCTATTTAGAAACATTTCATGAATATTTTCCCATGTTATATTTCCAAAGGCTGCATAATTTCCCACTGTATGCACATACCAAAATTTATTGAATCGTGATCTGTTCAGGGGGCTAGAAAGCTGTTTTCTTTTAGACTGCATTATAAACAACACTATCATTATACACTCCAGTTTTTCTGTACTCTGATGGTTTCCCTGTTTCTTAACTTGCTTTACTTTTCTCTCAAACCATTTGCTTATCATCAATCAAATTACTGCATACTTACTTTATTAGGTGCTTACCTCTCCCATTCAAAATACAAGTCCATGGAAGAAAGAGCTTTTTTTTTTTTTTTTTTTTTTTTAAAAGATTTATTCATTTATTTGAAAGGCAGAGTTACAGAGAGGGAGAGGCAGAGAGAAAGGTTTCCATCCATCGGTTCACTCCCCAAATGGCTCCAACAGCCAGAGCTGCACCAATCTGAAGCCAGGAGCCAGGATCTTCCTCTGGATCTCCCAAATGGTGCAGGGGCCCAAGCCTTTGGGCCATCTCCTACTGCTTTCCAGGCCACAGCAGAGAGCTGGATTGGAAGAGGAGCGGCTGGGACTAGAAACGACACCCATATGGGATGCCGGCACCGCAGGTGCCCGATTAACCTACTGACTGGCCCCAGAAGGCAGAGCGTTTTATTCAGCCTATTTGTACTGGCAAGAACAGTGCTCATGATGGAACAGTCACCAAAAGAAATCTGTGTTGCCTGTGTGGATGGATGGCTAGATGACACGGCAGAAACGGATCTGAGCAAGGTAATAAAATCCTGGAAAAATGGAGCCAACCAAGCCGAATGCCTTAAGGCAAAGAGGAAAGACAGACAAGGTTTGCGGGAGTGCTCTCAGCAATCAGGAGACAGTGTTGTGCGTGCAGATGCTCGGTGAGGGCTGAGGCTGGGGCTCTGTGCTCCCTGCTTGGAATCCCCACTTGTTGGAGAAAATGACCCAACCATTTTCAGATCTTCAGGCCCTTCTTGAGCTGTTCTTCAGTATTTGTTTCCCAGTGTTTAAGGGCATGGTTGTTAATAAGAGTAATAAAAACAAGAACTGAAGCTAAGCTGAGAGCTCGGGAATAAACTTTTTTTAAAAAAAGATTTATTTATTTATTTGAAAGTTAGTGGGGCCGGCGCTGTGGTGCAGCGGGTTAAAGCCCTGGCCTGAAGCTCCAGCATCCCATATGGGTGCCGGTTCTAGTGCCGGCTGCTCCTCTTCTGATCCAGCTCTCTGCTATGGCCTGGGAAAGCAGTAGAAGATGGCCCAACTCCTTGGGCCCCTGCACCCACATGGGAGACCTGGAAGAAGCTCCTGGCTTTGGATCGGTGCAGCTCCAGCTGTTGCAGCCATCTGGGGAGTAAACCAGCAGATGGAAGACCTCTCTGTCTCTACCTCTCTCTGTAACTCTTTCAAATAAATAAAATAAATCTTAAAAAAAAAAAGTTAGAAAGTGAGAGAGGGAGAGAGAGAGAGAGAGAGAGATAGATCTTCTATCCATTGATTTATACACCAAATGGCTACAATGGCTAGCACTGGGCCAGGCCAAAACCAGGAGTCAGGAGCTTCACCCAGGTCTCTTACATGGGTGCAGGGGCCCAAGATTTGGTCCATCTTCCACTCCTTTCCCAGGTGCATTAGGAGGGAACTGGAATGGAAGTGGAGCAGCTGGGACTTGAACCAGCACTCATATGGGATGCTGGCATCACAGGCGGTAGCTTTATACACTATGCCACAATGCAAGCCCCCATAAACTTTGAAAAAGAATTAATATTTTTTCAAAAGTAGACTATGACAAAGCCACAGGGAGCAGAACAAAGTAGTACTATCATACAGACAGACACACAGACCAGACCAATTGAACAGAAGAAAGAACCTGCAAACAAACCTTTCCACATGTGGTCAGGTGATTTTCTTTTCTTTTTTTTTCCAGTCACAAACGAATATTTATTTTTATGAAGAATAGGCCCTACTTTTAAAACAACCAAACAAAATAACCTATACTCTATATCCACCCAGGCGTACTATACCTTGTAGACAATTTATTTTTTTTTCATTTTCAATTATCTTTAATACAGAAGATCAATTTAGTACATATTAAGTAAAGATGTCAACAGTTTGCACCCACACAGAACATAAAGTGTAAAAATACTGTTTGAGTACTAGTTATAGTATTAATTCACATTGTACAACACATTAAGGACAGAGATCCTACATGAGGAGTAAGTGCACAGTGACTCCTGTTGTTGACTTAACAAATTGACACTCTTGTTTATGATGTCAGTAATCTCCCTAGGCTCTTGTCATGAGTTGCCAAGGCTATGGAAGCGTTTTGAGTTCGCCAACTTCAATCTTATTTAGACAAGGTCATAGTCAAAGTGGAGGTTCACTCCTCCTTTAGAGAAAGTTACCTCTTTCTTTGATGGTCCGTTCTTTCTACTGGGATCTCACTCGCAGAGATCTTTCATTTAGTTTTTTTTTTTTTTTTTTTTTTTTTTTTGCCAGTGTCTTGGCTTTCCATGCCTAAAATACTCTCATGGGCTCTTCAGCATTCGGATTTTTTTAAAAGATTCATTTATTTATTTGAAAGTCAGTTACACAGAGAGAGGAGAGTCAGAGAGAGAGAGAGGTCAAGAGGTCTTCCATCTGCTGGTTCACTCCGGAATTGGCCACCGTGGCCAGAGCTGCGCCATTCCAAAGCCAGGAGCCAGGAGCTTCCTCTGGGTCTTTCCATGCAAGTGCAGGGGCCTAAGGACTTGGGCCATCTTCCATTGCTTTCCCAGGCCATAGCAGAGAACTGGATGGGAAGTGGAGCAGCTGGGTCTTGAACCAGCACCCATATGGAATGCTGGCACTGCAGGCGGTGGCCCACCTACTATGCCACAGAGCCAGACCCTCAAATTATTTTCAAATAGGGTGCCAAGTCCATCCAACAGGAAAAAGGCAGCCTTTTCCACAATGGTGCTGGGAAAAGTGGGTATCCACATGCAAAAGAATGCAGTTGAACCCTTACCTCACACTGGAGACAAAAATGAACACAAAGTGACCAAAGACCTAAAAGTGAGAGCTAATATTGATAGAACATGTAGAGGAAGACATAGCGGGAAATGTTTATGACATCAGATTTTGCATGAATTTTTTGATATGACAACAAAAGCACAGGCAGCAATGCAAAAAATAGATGTGTTGGACATCATCACAATGAAAAAGTCAACAGACACTATCCAGAGAGCGAAAAGGCAGCCCACAGAATAGGAAAAGATGCCTGCAACTTATATATCAGAGCAGAGTGATACCTAGAACATATAAAACAACTCTGACAACAGCAAAAGGACAAGCAAGCTGACAAAGGGTTTGAGTGGACATTTCTCCAAAGAATATGTCCGATTTCCCAACACGCACATGGAGAGGAACTCAAGATCACTAATCATTAGGAAAATGCGAACCAAAACCAATGATATACCATCACACACATGATAGGATGGCTACTATTTAAAGAAATAGCAAGTGTGGGCAACAATGCGAAACAATTGGAATATTTGTACATGCTAATGAGAATGAAAGTGGTGCAAGCCCTGTGGAAAACACTATGATGGGGACTCAAAAAAATTAAACACACAGAATTATCCCGCGAGCCAGCAATGGCACTTGCAGGTTTGTAACCCAGAGAACTGAAAGCAGGAACTTGGACAGTACTTATGCACCATAGAAGCATTTTTCACAAAAGGAGGGAACAACTCACATGTACCCTGACAGACAAGCGAACCAAAAAACGTGATTTACACATACATTGGAATACAATCTTAAAAAAATTAGTATTGTGAAAAAAACTGTGCATGGTTTTCAAAAAAAGTTTGTACCAAATAAGCTTATCTTTAAATTCCATTTTCCCTTAAGTTTTCAAAGTGTCCTTGGATTTTCTTGTTACTCCAAAGTAAGAATGTTTTCACATTTTCTGAAAGGACAAATAGAAGGCTTAGATAAATAGCAATCTGACCACTGCAAAAAAGCAATTCTCTCTCATTGGAAGAAGCAGATTCCATAATTATCCTCATTACTATCTTATTCCATAAGAAATATTTAAAGGTTCTTCAATCCAAAAGAAGAGAGAACTTAATGAGAGACTAGCATGCATTATTTTTTTTAAAGATTTTATTTATTTATTTGAGAGGCAGAGTTACAGACAGAAAGAGGAAGAGACAAGAGAAAGATCTTCCATCCATTGGTTCACTTCCCAAACAGCCGCAATGGCCGGAGTTGGGTCGATCCGAATCTAGCAGCCAGGAGCTTCCTTCCGGTCTCCCATGCAGATGCAGGGGCCCAAGAACTTGGGCCATCCTCTACTGCTTTCCCAGGCCACTGCAGAGCCAAATGGGCCACTTCTGTGTCCTTCCTCTTACCCCTCCCAGATGGTGCTCCGCTCCGCCAGGAGTCCCTGACGCAATCTGCCCCTCACAGCCCCATGCCCCAGCACTCACGCATGCTGAACCCCCGGCACCCCGCTCCCTGCTCCAGCCACTTAATCCACACCTTGTCCTTGCTTGCCACCCCAGTCCTGGGCACCGCATTCAGCGTGTGGAGCCCTGTCCCGGCTCTGTGGCAGGGGCTGTGTCCCCACAGCGTTTCTGCTCCTCCCCTACAGGACCACAGTAGGGCCCAGCGCCAGCAGACCCCACGCAGAAGCTCTCTGGAGGGGAAGTGCCTTTTTCAAACCTGTTACTGACATAATCAAGTCCAAGAAAGGCACATAAAGAAGGTTCTGGAAGAAGCCGCCTGGCTTCTGCCTCCCTGGCCTGCACCTTCTTCCAACACCTGCTCCGAATCCTGGGCAGGACCAGGGGTTGGGGTCTGCGGCTGGCTGCGGGGGGTGGGGTGGGGGCGGCGTACCCACACCTGCTCGCTTCCAGGAGTTGGGCGCTCAGTGGGGCCGCAGAGCGGACCGGAGAGCGAGGGATGCAAACCTTCAGCTCCGCAGAGAGGCAGAGACACCGAGAAACCCACACAAAGCGAGAGGGAGCGAGGGCCGGGCGGCGGCCGCCCTCCCTCTCTCCCGCCCTCGCGACGCAGCCCACTCCCGAGTCCAGCGCGCCGCACCTCGCCCAGCCCTGCGCCAGTCGCCACGTCCCGCAGGCTGCCGGCCCGGCCCCGCCCCTGCCGTCACCCTCGGCGGCTTTAACCCTCGCCTACCCGCCCCCCGCGCCGCCGCAAAGCCCCTAGAGCGGCTGCGGGTGGGCGCGGACACGCCGCCTCCCTCCGCCCTGCCCGGCGCGCGGCGCCCGGAGCTGACCGTGGTGCTGAGCGCGCGGCTAGGGCTCGGACGCGGCGCGCGGGGCCGGGTCCCGGCCGCGCCCTGTCGCACTCCTGGCAGCCAAGCGGTAAGTCGCCGGGGCCCCGAGAGGCTGCATGGGTCCCGGCCGCGCGGATGTGGACTCTGGTGGTGGCGGGAGGGGAGGATTGGGAATATTGGTGCGTTCTGTCGCCCGATGGGCGGCCCCACGCGGGACCCGGGGTCGGCACCCTCTCCACTCCTTGGTGCCCATCGGAGATGGTGCTGGTGAGTGTGGGGCTTGGGAGTGGTGACCCTTGGGGTATGAGCTAAGGAAGGGGAGAAACCCTTCGGGGGTTGGGGAAGGCCCATCTTCCTGTTCCCCGCAGGAAGGCCCAGGGGCTTCCTCAGAGGAGGTGGGCTGGGACCTTCGCTCCCCAAAGGCCCTTTGTCTTCCAATGTGGGGGTTGGGTGGCTCGCTGATGCTCTCATCCTAGATTCTATTTCTGCTTTATACTCCACCCCCACCCCTGAACGCGGGAGCATTCCCTTCCTACAATGGCCTCACTCCATCCACCCGATGACAAGGCAAGGCTCCTACGGAGGTGCACCACTGCCCAACGGTCTGCACCCCGCCCCAGTCTGCAGGAAGTCCTTGGGCGGAGCTCCCTCCCACACCTGCACTTTCTTAGCACCATGCCTACCTTTGTATTTCACTGTTGTGATCCTCCTGGGTATTGGGGGTGGGACAGGGAAAGGCATAGCAAATACTGAAACTATTAGCCTTTTAGTTCTCCGAGAACGCTCCTCCTGCTGCTGTCTTCCTGTAGGGGTTTTATTTTGCCCCCTGGAATCTGACACCAGGTCACTTTGTGTTAAAAAGGGAAAAAAAGGCATCAAGTTACCTTCTCCACGGGAAGAGGAAGTCCTAGAAGGCTGAGCCAGTTACCCAGCTTGCAGACAAGTAGCCTGTAGCTGACTTCATTTGCTCAATTTGCAGTAAGTCCACATCCTGGTGTATGCATGGAGGCGAGAGGTGCGTGGACAGACACTAGCATCTCTGCTCCCACCTTCTCCCTGCTGGATTCTGCTTCTGCACCGCCTCCTTGTGTTTGTTCTTTACTTTCCATTTTGGCCTGGAGCTGGCGTCACCTGTGAACATTCAAACTCAGGCCATGTCACGCCCTTGATGGATGACTCCCCATGGCTCATAGAATGTAGGCCAGGTCTCCCTGCCCAGTCAGTCTGCCAAGCAGCTTGGGCTGTTTTTCATATCTCTCCATACTAGGGCATTTCAAAAAGCTTGTGGAAAATGAAATTACAAAATAAATTTACTTTTCAATGCAAAAAGATTTCAAAATCCATCCAGAGACAGGGTCTTCAAAAAATTCATGGAAAATGTGCGTTATGAAAACACCATGCATGGATGGCAAGTGTTTTGGGGGAATGAAATAAGCTTATCTTTGCTTATCTTTTCATTCCATGTCCGCAACTTTTAAAGAGCACTCTCATATTCTCCTTCTCTTGCTCCTTGAGGCCTTTTGGAAGGGCTCACTTCCTGTCTGAAATATACCACCCATGTCTTTTTCCTGGCCATTTTCTGCTGTCTTTCAGGTTTTGGATAAATATTACATCCTTCACACAGAGTTGATGAGATATGTAGACTGTGTAGTCCCTGTTCTCGTGTGATCTGCAGGTGTATCTTGGGGAGTCAGCACTGGGCCTTGGTGTCTTAAAAAATAACACATACACACTGCACTTGTAGAATTCAAAATTCCAGCATCCAGAGTCGTGGTGCAACAGGTTAAGCCTCTGCTTGCGATGCTGTCATCCCATTTCAGAGTGCCTGTTTGAGTCCCATCTGCTCGGCTTTCTATCCAGCTCTCTGGTAATGCACCTGGGAGAGCAGCAGAAGATGGTCCAAGTACTTGTGCCCCTGCCACCCATGTGGGAGACCAGGATGGAGTTACTGGCTCCTGGCTTCAGCCCTTGAGGTCTTGTGGGGGAGTGAACCAGCAGATGAAAGATTCTCTCTCTGTTTTTCTACCTTTCAAATAAATAAATAAATCTTTAAAAAATTCCAGACCCATTATCATCCTCTTTAGGAAACTTAGATGTAAACATATGGCTAAGATATCTCACATAAAATATATCATTTTTGTAAATCACAGCTCACAGCTGATTTATGATTGGAGCCTTGGACCTTAGAGAATTCTCACAGGACCCAGTGACAGAACCAGTGGTTGCTGAGTGTGCAGTCAAGAGGGCGGGTCTGCTTGGTGCTTTGGGGGGATCGATGTGGTGCAAGGTGGAGAGAATCTGTCCTCTTCCCAGCTGGGATTTCACTGATGGAGTCTCTAGCCACAGGGCTAGAGTGTGTGTTTTTGCAACTGAGAACTTGGATGCATTTGGCTTCAGCCCTCGGGCAGTGACAGTGCCAGCATCTGGCTGTCCATACAGATCCCACTGTGCCTCTGAGAACTGTCGTGGGAGGTGACTGCTCAGTCTGCTTCCAGCCAGGCAGTGGCAGGGGGTGGGGGTGGCTCCCACCCACATCACTTACAACCACACATTTCCAAAAGGACAGACTCTGATCAAATATCTTAACGTAGAAATGCACTGGACTGAACAGACTAGAGCTCATGTGGCTGTTCCAGTATCGATGCTTTGGCTTCATTGCATGGTACCATAGTGCCTGTTATGCTATCTGTGAGCAGAGTGACAAACTCAGAAGCAGGCTTGGCAGTGAATCAGTGACACTGGTCCAGTCATCTCGAGCAGTGACAGCCATTTTGAAGGATCATTTTCCAAGTTCAGAGTGGAGTGAAATTTCCATCTGTTCATGATTTGAAATCAGTTGATTGCTCTGAGAACAGAGAAGCTGGTAGTCTTATTTGTAGAGATCTATAGCTTATCAAATAAACCATCGCAATTCTTGCAGCTGCAAAATTCTGCAGATAGTGAGATCATCCTTGTGGCCTGTTTCAAGTAATTTCCAAGAGCATGGTTAAAAAAATAGAATTTCCCCAAACATTGAAAAGGATAAGTGAAGTAGGTATCTCATAGTGAATGTCTCCAAAACTTCCTGCCCTCAAAATTTTATTGCCACCAATTATGACTTTTCTAAGTTTGGGTTTGGTGCTTTTGTCGCTTGTAATCTTCACTTTTATTGTGCATTTCAAAATGCTTTGGAAAAATATGCTTGTTATTCTACTTCTAGATTTCCCATCAGAGAGAATGTGAGCAGTTGGTTCATAAAATGTCAAGTTCAGAATCATGCAGGCTTGGCTCCATTCCCAGCCCTGTCCTTTGCCCCCCATGTCACCTGGGCCAATGAACTAACTTTTCTGATTCTGAGCTTGTCTTTTATCAAATAATGGTTGCAAAAGCCCATCCCTTCCAAGGTTAGGGACCAAGCTCTTTGCTCTGGTAGGTGGGTGTAACAGAGACTCAAGTCTGGGTTGTCTAACGCCAGAGCTTGTGTAATAAACACTATGCTGTGTGCAGCAAAAGCTCAGAAGAACTGGGGGAGACCTCACCTAGACTGCAAAGGAATGTGCCAAGGGGAAATGGAGTCTGCAGGTGCAAGGTGGGAAGGTCTGGGCACAGGCCATCTGGCAGGAGGCAGAAGAGCCAGCATGGCAGTTTGGGGCACCATTTCCCATCCAGGGTGCTGCTACCAAGAGCTGAGCTGCAGCTGGCAAAATGCCTGCTCCTTTGCTTATCTTCCTGCCAAAGGCCTGAGGTGCCCATTGGAAGGGAGGAAGTGCTGCCCATGGGTGGCAGCAGGTGGCGGCTGGTCAGCTTGGATCCCAGGAGCCCCTACAATGCCAACTTAGCCAACTGGACTGTGAAGCAGCCCCTCTGTCTACCCAAGTCCTTGTGCAGAAGCATTTCAGGGACTGTCAGCTCGTAGCTGTCACACAGCCATCTGGAGGGTTCCCAGGGGAGTGAGTATGAAAGGCAGCAGGCTGACTGAGCCGCTTGCTTTCACACTTGTGGCAGTCCTGCTCACAGGCTGGGAGCTGGGGGGAATGACTGCAGGGCTGCCTACGGAGCAGTCCCATGCAGAAACCAGACACTGTTTCTCCCTGGCCAGACTGATGAAGGACTGACACTAAGCCACTCACCACGAAGAAAAGTTGGGTGGAGGGGAGCAGTGGCACTGGAACAGAGTGTGTTTCAAGCAAAAGGAGAGGGCGGGTCCGGGGCCATGTGGAGTCAGCGAGCAGGATCTCGGGGAGGTCCTCAGATTGGGCCATCTGGCTTTGCCTTCTCTTGCTGAGGTCTTGGGGATCTCCAAACGTACCTCAGAGACAGCAGGCTTGAAACTAGACAAGAGTTCCTCTCTCCCAAAGTAACTTTTGGGACAAGTCCCTTGCACCTCACTTTGCTGGCCTCCCCTCTCCCTTGCCACCTTGCATTGTCCCATTCTCTTGGCCTCAGCATTTAAAACTCCCTGCTGCTTTTCTTTCTTATCTGGCAGCTGAATGCCTTTGGAAGAGTCTCTGATTTCACCCTTTGTAGCTTCCATACACCTTGCTCCCTGCCCTCAGCCTGTTTGCCTCTTATTAGTTCTCTCTGTCCTCACTCTTTCAGTCCTCCACTCGCACATCAGGTGCAGGCTAGTTCATGTTAGGTCATCAACTTCATTGTAATTTTTAAAAAAGATTTATTTATTTATTTGAAAATCAGAGTTACAGAGAGAAGGAGAGGCAGAGAGAGAGAGAGAGAGGGAGGGAGGGAAGAGAAAGAGAGAGGGAGAGGGAGAAGGAAAGGGAGAGGGAGAGGGAGAGGGAGAGAGAGAGAGAGAGAGAGAGAGAGAGAGATATGTCTTCCATCTGCTGGTTCACTCCCCAGATGGCTGTAATGGTCGTATTTGCACTGATCCGAAGCCAGAAGCCAGGAGCTTCTTCTGGGTCTCCCATGTGGATGCAGGGGCCCAAGGACTTGGGCCATCTTCCACTGCTTTCCCAGGCCATAGTAGAGAGCTGGATTGGAAGTGGAGCAGCTGGGACTCAAACCGGCACCCATATGGGATGCCAGCACACAGTAGGCAGCTTTATCCACTATGCTACAGAGCCATCCCCCAACCATCAATTTCATTGTGCCCCTGCTTCTGCCCACCATCGGAAGACATCCATGACCCCAAGATCAGGCTAGACATCCTAGCTGTGCTAGAACAATCTCGCACTAGCACTCTTCCAGCTTCCCGACTCCCACGCCAAGGGCACATACCAGTGCCTTTCCCAGGGATCTCAGAGACTGTCCCTGGCTGGCACCAATATCTGCTGGTGAAGTGTGCATGGAAGGTGACAGCTGCCTGTCCATCAACCCAGGGTGCTCTGTGTGTCCCCGTTGGCCTGCCCCTTGCCCCAGGCTGCTTCTACTCTGAGGTTCTCTCTCTCCGCTCCATCTTCAAGCTCAGCCGTGTCTTGTCTGATGGCCTCTGTGTAGGTTGAGTCTTGCTTTCCCCAGCAGATACATAGCCCTGGAGGACAGTGAGGGTGTTCCCTGGCTGCCTTTGGCCCAGGAGTAGACAGATTTGAGTCTTTGTGGATGAACTGAGGTGCTATGGGTAGGACACTGGGAAAGGGAGCTTCAGATGAGCTCAGAGGTGCTTGGGTGCTTCAAAAACTCAGCAGCCCCAATGAGCTCTCATTTGGGTTCCTATGGGGTGTCTTCAGGCTTAACTTCTCTGGGTATCTATTGCCTATGAAGGTGGAAGTGAGGACCATGGGTAGGGCTGTCCCATCCCTCTCTCCCTCACCTCTGCTGGGACCCAGGCTCCTGCAGCCATACCAGTTGTGCAAGCAAGGGTGGGCAGAGGTCTTCCAGAGCCCATGGGCCACCCAATATCGTACACTAAGTGCCTCCTGCTTTCCTCCACAGCGACAGGGACCACGGGCAGCAATGGAGCTGAAGAGAGGGAAGACCTTCATCAAATCCAGCCTGCAGATTTCCCACGAGAGAGCCCCAGAGCCAGCAGCCACTGCTCCAGCAAGGGAGGATGCAGGCTCCAGTGAGAAGGGCTCCCACACCCGGCCCACTGTCCACGGGTCCGATGGATGCCCCAACAAGGAGGTACAGTCGGACTCAGAAGCGGGACCTGTGGCCTCTGGGGCCACCTTCAAACTGGTTCGGAAGAGCAAGACCCATGAGAGTGTACCTGGGGCTGGCAGGGCAGCCGGCACCTCTGGGCAGCTGGTGGGCAGCGCCAGCTTCCCTGGACCTCCCGGAGGCCAGCGCATGATTGACTACCGCCACTTTGTGCCCCAGGTGCCTTTTGTGCCAGCTGTGGCCAAGAGCATCCCGAGGAAGAGGATTTCCTTGAAGCGGCCCAAGAAATGCTTTTGGAACCTGTTCCACATCCGCAGGAACAAGACGGAGAATGTGGCGGCACTGGTGGCCAAGGGCAAGAGCCTGTCCTCTCCTGGGGGCCTGTCGCGTGCTGCAGGGCGGCGAGGCACCACTTTGCTGCCCCTGGGCGAGGACCCAGGGCTGGATGGCCTATGCCACGACCTGTCGGATGGCGACCTCCTCCTGGACTCATCTTTTGACCTCTGCAGGGCGCTGTGTGAGGACGTGGCTTCACTCAAGAGCTTCGACTCACTCACAGGCTGCGGGGAGATCTTTGCAGATGAAAGCTCTGTGCCATCCCTGGAGCTGAATGACAGCCTGGAGAGCCCAGCCCGGGCGTCACAAGCCCCAGAGAGCAAGACTCCTGGAGGCCCCTTCCAGGGTGGGGTGGAGAAGTTGGCGTCACCTGCGCAGAACGAGGTGTCAGATTTTACCAGGTTCTGGGACAGCGTGAATCGCTCCGTGAGGCAGCAGCATCGTGCCCTGCTGGGCCCCTGGCTGGCAGGACCGCAGGGCACAGATACTGATCAGCCCAAGTTAGACACAGCTGAGCTGGCTGAGCTGCCCCTGTGCCCCTGCAGGGACCCTCCCAGTGGCTCCAAAGCCAGCTCCATAGACACAGGGACGCCCAAGAGCGAGCAGCCGGAATCCGTGTCCACGAGTGATGAGGGCTACTATGACTCCTTCTCCCCAGGCCTCGAGGAGGACAAGAAGGAGGCCCCGAGCCCAGGCACACCTGCAGCCACCTTCCCCCGGGACAGCTACAGCGGGGATGCCCTCTATGAGCTCTTCTACGACCCCAGCGAGAGCCCTGTCGGTCCAAGCCTGGACGATGACCTATGTGTGTCTGAGAGTCTGTCCGGGCCAGCCCTGGGGACGCCACTGTCCATGTGTAGCTTCCACGTTGGGGCTGAGGAGAACCTGGCTCCAGCACCAGGCCCGGACCTGCTGAGTCAGGGCTTCCTGCAGAGTTCCTGGAAGGGCAAAGAGTGCCTGCTGAAGCTCTGTGACACAGAGCTCGCCATCACCATGGGCATTGTCAACTGGCTCCGCCGCGGCCCCGAGCCCCGCACGCCACACACCGCTGCCCCTGCCCCTGCTCCTGGGGAGTCTGCACCCCCACTGGGACCCCAGAAAGCTCCTGGGGGACTTGTACAAAAGCAGGAAGGCAGGGTGGACCGGGCCTCTGAGACACGCAGAGCCACAGTGTGCTCAGCACCCAGCAGGCAGGCACTCTGGGTGCATTCGGGCACCAAGGGCCTGCCTGCTGGAGACAGCACCAGCCTAGCAGGGGCCGTGGGGGACCCCTTTTTAGAGGAAGGGAGACAGGACCACTCCGATGGCCGGTTCTCCTCTGTGGGGTCTGTGGCCACAGCAGCAACAACAGACGCTTCTAATAAAAGCAAGACCCCGGCACCCCCTGCCTGGCCTAGCTTGCAGAAGGAGCCCCGACCACCAGGGAACCTGGGCTGTTTCCAAGACCCACGCAGGCCAGATCAGGAGGGGAGCACTCTGGATGCAGAGCCCGTGTTGACAGGCTGTGTGGCCCGGGTGGCAGCCTTGCAAATTGACCCAGATAGCCAGTCCCTGGTTGCGCAGCCTCTAAGGGAGGCCATGGGCAGTGGGCTTTTCAGACAGCCCCATGCCAAGTGCCCTGAGAATATGCAGCAGGACCAGCTGAAGAGCTCTCCCAGCAAGGCTGCTTCCTGTGACTTGCTCTCCCCAGCCAGCCTACAAGACCAGAGATGTGCAGACTTCATCGTGGACCTGAGCCAGCTCACGGTGGAGCCAGTGGGGCTGAGTGCCCGGGCCTGTGCATCTGTGGAGGACCAGCCCCTGCCACCCAGTGCAGGAGCTGTGGAGCAGGCAGTACAGAGGGATCAGCTGGACTCTGAGCCCCCGTTGGCCACCGTTGTACAGCAGAACTCCTGGAGCCACTCCCCAGAAATCCTGGGCCTCACTTTGGATGGCCAGTGGGACAGGGGACCCTCTGCAAGTGTCCCCAGATGTTGCTGCAGCCTCCTGGCCCACGAGGACCTCCTCGGCAACCAGCCAGAAGCCGGCGGCCCCCGGCCGGCCATGGCAGAGCCCCACCTGTAGTGGGGGCCGTGCTTACTGGGAGGTATGTTCGTATGGTCACATCCAGGAGAGCTTGGTATGCAAATCCCCACCTTGGCCCTGATGTGAGGACTGTGGTTGAGGGGGAGGGGGTGATCGGACTCACGCAGGCGAGGACGAGGCATTTGCATATGGAGGCATCCTTGAACCCACTGCTCAGGCAACCCAAGGCCACGGACAGTGTGACATGGCAAACACTTGGCTGCTCCTTGTGCCCCAAGTAAGGGAGGCACTCAGGCCTGAGATGGATGGGAAGGAATTGGTCCAGACTCTCATATACATAGGGTGACAGGACACCTACCTGCATGGGATGTGTGAGGCTGACTGGGGTGGGAGACAGAGGGATGTAAGGCCAGGAGGGCCCCTTCCCCACCCTAACCTATTCTCTGCCAGGGGCCAGGTGGCCACAACACAATAGGGGACTGAAGAGCTCTTTCCCGACGAAAGCCTTGAACTCACATCGTGTGGTACTTTGCAGTCCTGCTGGGGCCAACGCCGATAGAGCCTACACAGTGAGGTGGCTGGAGTCTCTGTCCCAGATGGTTCCACACGGTGATCTCCCAGATATGTGCTCTCTAACTGAAAATCACATTTGGCAAAACGCTCTCTGGGAAACTGCCAGGCCACGCTTCCTGACACTGCCATTCTATTGGGAGGAGCAAAGGCATTCGACTTGACTCCTCCCCACCCCCCTGCCTTCAGAAAATCGGGAAAATTTGCCTTGGAATGGGGTTGTGCCCCCGAATCCCAGGAGACGCATACACAGCACTCAGATGTTTAGAATCGTGGCGGTGGGGGAAGGGAGCTGGTGAGCACAGGAAGGGCCAGTTGTCCATTCTGGCTCAGTGTCAGACCAGCAGGTGCAGGGACAGAGGGCTCAGTCACATCGTCAAGGATTGGATCCTACCTCAGCCAAAACACCGTGGCAAGACACGAGGGATGGAACACGACTCGCAGCGTGAGATTTATTGCTGGAGGAAAGGCCAGTGTGGGAAAAGGTCAGCGGATGAGTCTCATTCCCTGCCGAGCTCCCTGGAGCAGAGGAGAGGGAAGCGAGGGGTGCTTGCTCTGACAGCCTGCACAGGCTGGGGTTTGCAATGAGGGCTGTAGTCTGGAAGGTGGCAGGGGCGCAGTGCACCTGCTCACTGTCACTTGGTCTCAGGCTGGCAAAGCTCCTGTGTTCTGTGTCCACAGTAGTTCAGATGCTTGCTGGGTGCAGGTTGCAGGCTGCATCCAGTTGGCACACAGCAGAGGCTCAGGGCTGCCCAGGACCTGCCCACTGAGCCCTGTGGGAGCAGGATGCACTCAGCTCAGCTCACCTGAGCTCAGCTCACCTGAGCTGCCTCAACCTCAATGCACTTCTTACTGTCATCTACTGACTGATAAGCAGATGGCCCAGGGCATGGGAGTGACTTACCCACAGACACACATAGCCAGGACGTGGGGTGGATGGGGTGTGACTCCCAGACCAGGAGTCAAAGCCTTGCCCCAGCAGGCTCTGAACACACTGAGCTCCTGCTGCCAATGACCCTCGGGGAGCCGTCCCCTTCCTGTCTTGCCCTCTCCCTCGGGTGCCAGTCATGTGTCCCCCCCACCCTGCCTGCAGCATGGGAGCCCCCCGGGGGAGGCAGGCCACCCTCCCTCATTCACAGGGCTTCTCACTGCCCCTGACAGAGTCAATGCTCGGTGAATACTTGCTGGAAGAATAAAAGGTCAAAAAGCTTGTGTGGGGTTTTCTGGTTCCTTTCTGGCCCTGGAGAGAAGGGAGAGCTAAGGTTTAAACGGGACTCTGGCCTTGAGACCCAGACACCTTCCCCATGGAGGAGGGGGGGACAGGGCTCCTCCTTGCCATGGTGCAATGATGCGTGGTGATTGGGGTGGGGGCAGCCAGGTCCTGCCAGGCGGGTGAGTGTCTTCAGACCCTTCGAGGGCCCGTGATGTCCCTGTGGGAGGTGCGATCCTTTCTCACTGCAAAGCATAAGGTGTCCCTGCTGCCCTCCCACTCCAGCCCACAGTCTCCCATAGGCAGCAAGGACTTCAAACACTGCCAGGTGGGTGGACAGACGTGCTGTTTTCTGGTTGCTGCTGCTCCAGACGATGCTGCGCCCACTTCTTTGACCCACGGAATTCTGCTCAAAAATGTCAAAACTTCACAGTGAACAGAAGTTATTTTTAAAAAGGACTTATTTATTTATTTGAAAGGTAGAATTACGGGGGGGGGGATGGAGAGAGAGAGGTCTTCTATCCGCTATTTCAATCCCCAGATGGCCACAACAGCGGGAGCTGGGCCAATCCAAAGCCAGGAGCCAGGAGCTTCTGGATCTCCCACGCAGGTGCAGGGGCCCAAGGACTTGGACCATCTTCCACTGCTTTCCCAGGCCACAACAGGGAGCTATATAGGAAGTGAAGCAGCCAGGACTCAAACTGGTGCCCATATGGGATGCCGGTACTGCAGGTAGTAGTTTAACTCACTGCACCACAGCGCCAGCCCCAAGAGTTTTTTTTTTAAAGAACAGTGCCTCCTGCTCCCAGGACTCTGTGTCACTGTCCAGGTATCCCATGCTCATATGAACCCTGTCAATGGGAAGGCAGAGGTTGCCTTCTGTTACTACAGGTAAACACCTTACAAGTTGTCACTCTCAACCTTATGGGAAAAAGTAGAAGGGTGGGTTTCTGACTTAGTGGTTAACACGTCCAGATCTCGTATCAGCATGCACAGGTTCAAGTCCTGGCTCCATTCCCAATTCCAGCTTTTTGCTAATGCAGACTCTGGGAGGCAGCAGGTGATGGCTCAAGTCCTTGGGTCTCTGCCACTCATGTGGAAGACCCAGATTGCATTTCTGGCTCCTGCCTTCACCCTGGCCAGCCTCAGGTATTGTAGGCATTTGGGGAGTAAACCAGTGGATAGGATCTCTCTCTCTCTCTCTCTCTCTGTGTATGTGTGTGTATCTTTCTCTATGGGCCTCTCTGCCTCTCAAATAAATAGATAATTTTTAGAAAGAAAAGGAAACAATTAAAAAGACGCAGAGCTAGCGTTGTGGCACAGTGGGTTAAGCCACTGCCCCTGATGACAGCATCCTGTATTAGAGCACTGGTTCAAGGCCTGGCTGCTCCACTTCTGATCTGGCTCTCTGCTAATGCACCTGGAAAGCCACTGGAGCATAGCCCAGGTACTTGGGCCCCTGCCACCCACATAGAAGACTAGGATAGAGTTCCAGGCACTTGACTCTGGCCTGTTCCAGGTGTTATAGCCATTTGGTGGATGGAAGACCTCTCTCTCTCTCTCTCTCTCTCTGCCTTTCAATTAATTAAATAAATCTTAAAAAAATATCAGTGAGTGACCTTGGCCCATCAGTCAACTGAAGCTGTATGGCAAATGACTGTGGAAACCTGGAAAGACAGGGGCACCCCCAGAAATATAGCAACAGATCTGAGGCCTGGAGCTGAAGTCAGGGGATGTCAAGAACTGGTCAAAATACACGAAAAAAAAAAATCTGACAAGTTGTGGCAGGCAGAGTAAGGAGCTAGGGGTCTGGTCAGTGCCAGTCACCATTTTAGTGGCTTCTTCCCCAGGAATCACTGCCCTTGTTCAGAGTGAAGATGGCAGGGGAGGGGAAAAAGTTCCTTGAGAAGCCCCCGACCAGCCGGTCTCCCCAGCACAGGCCTCCCTCTTGGGAAGGGGCTTCTCAGAGGGCTGTTCTGAAACCCCTTCCAAGCTGAGGAATGGGCTCCCCCACCCACGCAGTCTTTCCCAGCCCACCTGTGCCAGGCAAGGGGCAATAAATGAATGAAGCAAGCATTGACAAGGGAGAGGGCTCAGTGGGGACATGCCGTCCTGCCCCGAAGGGACCATGACGGAGTAGATGTCATCCATGCCATATGACAAAGTCCCAGCTGGAGGAGGGGGAACTCCACAAAGCAGGAAGCCCCCAACTGAACTGAAGCCGTCTTCTCTGCTGGTTTTTTTTTGGTTTAATAATGTTGTAGTCATTGGGTTTGGGTGTGGGAATCATGGATATCAATGTAAGTGAAATTGGTGTTCCTTGTAAAAAAAAATGAGTTACAGGAGGTGACTGGGAAATAAGACGGGAATCTCCTAAAATTTTTCTAGATCAAAATATTCTTAGGAACATGAGTAATGAGGAGTTTGATGAGAAAATAGAACAGAAAGAGCATGCAGGTGCTTGTTCCCACAGACACCCCCTTGCCTTGCACAGGAGTGTATGATGAGAATGGCAGGTATGTAGTTGATATTACAGCAAGTGGATTGATGAACAAGCACTACCATTCTTACACAGGTTAGGATGCTATGCCCCTGCTTGGAAATGCAGAACAAAGGAACAAGGAACTCTTACATTAGGCAATGGAATAGATCCTATAAAAAACACGGCTCTTGGGGGTGTGATTTACCTTTAGAAAAATAGGATATAATCATTAGAACTTTCTATATACAGTTTTAACCTTATAAAATAAACTGATTAACCTTTGAAAGCTTGGAATTTTTGTCTAGCACCTTTAGATAAGTTAAGCAAGTTTCATATAGCCGATGCATCCACTATGAATAGAGAAAAGATTAATGGGAAGGTTATGATGAGGCCATGAAAGGAAAATGAAACAAAACAAGATTAATAGAGAAGAGTTATGCATAGACGATCACTTGTGATGTGTTCTTTCTCAGAAAGAATAGAGGCTTAGGAGGAAGAAGGCTTAATGAAAAATATGTGTAAAAAGAGTATAAAATAAAGCTATGAGAAGGAACGGCAGAAGGATGCCTGCCCTTGCTACCTAAACCCCGTCTCGTCATCTTCTTTCTTCGCCAATGCCTCCCCTCCTTTGGGACCCCTTGGACTTGCCGAGGCCGGACCGTGGAAGGACCAGGATTCTGAAGGCACAGAGACTTGGAAGACTAGAAATTAAGAGGGCTCCCCTCCCCTCCACTCCTTGCCCACACATGCAGCTAGCAAGTGGATTAATGGCCAACAGAGCTGCAAGGCAAAGTCCCTTCCTGAAGACCAGAGCAAAGGGAGGCCAAAGAAGAAGGAGGGAACCTGCTGGGTAATTAGGGGGTCTCTGTGCCAAGCACTAAAATAAGCCCAGCCACCTGACAGATGAACGTGAATCCTTGCACCGCAATCCTACTTACCCCAGTACCTGTTGTCCTAAATGACATGTCTGGCTTTTGACAAAATACAACAAAACCCACTAAAGATGAAAGAAAAGAAAGTCTGAAGAGACAGGTCAATCATTAGAATCAGATTCGATATGGCACAGATGTTGGAATTATCAGATGGAGAGCCTGGAACAACTATGATTCCTATGTCAAGGGCTATAAGGGAAAAAGGAGATGACAATTGGGTTCAGGTGGGTGATGCCAGCTGACAGGATTCTCAGAAAAATGAAAAGGAAATGCTAGGAATCAAAACACTGTCTCGGGGGCCGGTGTGGTATAGTGGATAGAGCTACCATCTGCAGTGCTGGCATCCCATATAGCACCGGGTCGAGTCCTGGCTGCTCCACTTCTGATCCAGCTCTCTGCTATGGCCTGGGAAAGCAGTAGAAGATGGCCCAAGTCCTTGGGCCCCTGCACCTGTGTGGGAGACCTGGAAGAAGCTCCTGTCTTAGGATCCGTGCAGCTCTGGCCATTGCAACCATCTGGGAGAAGGAAAGGCACAGGCTGGGAAGAAGACTGGGGCAAGGGTAAGAGCCTCAGCCTCAAAGGGCGAGCAGAGGTCAGGCTGTGTTGTGGTGGGGAGAAGAGGTCACGTGAACGGTCAGGAAGAACCAGGCTTGAGGACTCTGCTAGGAATTGGGCAGAAACAAGCATTGTCTAAGGCAGCCTCTTGTCCACAGTACACGCGTGCATGTCTATGCTCACATGCATGTTTCTTAATATACGTGTGGGAAGGAAGGATGAGTTGGAGTGTTGCATTGTTATGATAAGTATCTACCAACACGCATTAATGTTGCTTAAGCTGGGGGGGAGAAGAACCTATCAGTGCTTTTCCTAAGAAGCCACTGTGTTTATACAATTTATATTCAGGGGAGAAGATAAGGAGAACAGTGAGGTGACAGTGAGGGAGATAATTATAGCGTGGCTGGTGAGCAAATTCAATTTCCTGAGACAAACATAGTTGATAAGTCGGCATGAGCTGATGCAATTTTCTATTAGCAACATTCTCACAAATGCATTTTCCCGGAACTATCTTAGGAGCCTAGGTCTCAAGGCTCCAAGTTACAGATCACTGGACGTGAATACAGATATGATACTAACAGCTATGAAGAGAGGTTCCTTCATTCTTTGGAGGAAACCATCCAGCCAGCCTATCACCTTAGGATGACAAGATGGAAACATTAAAATAGACCTTAAAGAGGTCCCTCCACTCCCTGAGTTAATATTTGTACATTTCTTAAAATTTAGAGGATGAACTCTATCCCTGTGCCTTTACAGTAATTTGTCGGTGTTCCCAGCTTTCTTAAGCTTTCACAAAGCACTGGCACTAGAGTTTGGATGTGGTTTGAGTGGACTCCATAAAGGTTCAGATGCCTGAGGCTTGGTCTCCAGTACAGAGGTGTTGAGGTGATAGGAACTTCAGGAGATGAGGTCAGGGCAGGTGTAGCAGGGGAGACGCTGGTTAGGACACCTCCCTGCCATATCAGGATTCCCCGGGGTTGATACTCGGCTCTGGCTCCTGACTCCAGCTTCCTACTAATGTGCACCCTGGG